GGCTACGGCGCAGCCTGACGTGATGAGCATGATGCCGCCGTCGATGTGGAAGTCCTGTGACATCAGCCGCCATACCGCCATGGAGACCAGGACGGCTGTCACCACCCAGATGGAGAGCACGGAGAGCAGAGCGCCCAGCACCTCTGCAAACACACACACAGACACAGACACACACAGGGGGACCGATTTACCCTACAGTAGTGATTCCCTTGGGGAGCCTCAGTCAGTCCACATTTTCGCTCCTTCCCAGCTTCCAGCCAATCAAGAACACCAAACAGCTGGAACACTGAGAAGGGTCCAGCTGCAGACGCCTGTAGAGTGGAGCTCCACTGGGAATACGTCACCTCCACGAGAAACATATGACCTCAACTCTGTGTTACAGCAAATAAACCCTAACCTTAACCTTAACCCTAACCTAACCCTAACCGGAGCTCCTTAACCCTAACCTTTACGTCCTTAAAGGTCACGCGTTTCCTGTGGAGGTGACGTATTTCCAGTGGAGCTCCACTCTACAGGCGTCTGCAGCTAGACCCTCATGGGAACACTCGAGCTGGGCAGGAACAAAGACGTGGACCGTCTGGGGTTCCCCGAGGACTGGGTTGGCAAACACTGCCCTTGATCACCTGTGTAAGTTTCAATCCTTTCAGGGACAAATACAGTTTTTTTATTGAACTGATGGACACTATAACACAATTTGCTTCCTGTTGGATTAAAAATCAAAGCACAAAGTTACTATACTGTATGTTTTATTAAGACAATAAACCTACGCAGACAAAATGTTGCCAATGACTTGGATGCAACTTTCTATTGATCTCTATAATCCAGTGTTTTCCAGTCCAGTCCTCGGGGACTCAGATAGTCCACGTTTTTGCTCCCTCCCAGCTCCCTGCCAGACAGTGAGATAATTAGGGAGCTAGGAGGGAGCAAAAATGTGGACTGTCTGTCTGCTATATAATCTTATTTTAACCTCCTCCGATATCCAGCTTCCCCACATAGTACACACTCAGCACCAGCAGCCTGTGGCGTCTGACATCATCACAGGCCGTCTGTGCTCACCTGCCCGGTGCCAGCCAAAGCTCATGACCTTGGTGGCAGGTCGGGAGGCCACCCAGAGGGAGAAGAGACTCAGCAGCATGCTGGCGAAGTCGACGAGCAGGTGGGCGGCGTCCGCCAGGAGGGCCAGGCTGTGAGCCAGACAGCCGCCTGGGCAGGGGCAAGACACGCACTTCACAAAGAGCAGGCCGCAAGCTGTTCCTGTTACCAAGGCAATGTGCCCCCCCCCCCACACTCACCCACCACCTGCCCAACAATGAAGATCAGACAGACAGTGGAGGCTCTGTACAGCTGGAGGCGGGCCCGGCGCTTCTCCTCAGTGCGGCCAATGGCATCGCCGGTGGATGAGTGACAGTGACACTGGCCAATCAGCTTCTCTGCAGCACTGAGATCAATGTACTGGCTTGAGTGAGTGGGAAGCATCACTGTTAACAAGAGTGTCGGCCAATCACTGAGATTCTCAGCTGCCTGAGGAGAACTTGACCAGGCTGGGGTACTAGTGCAACTGCTCTGCTGCACGACAGACAAGCTGTTAACTGAAGGTATCTGGATGACAGTGATAAATGGATAATGATACAGTAAAACAGATACAGCTCAGGTCAGGTAGGGGGGCATGCACTGGTTCAGCCCATTGTTGGCGACCCCACAGGTCCAGTTCCACCGTCCGGAAACAACCATCTATCTGCAATGGCCAGGTGATAGATACAAGACAACAAATAATCATTCACTAACATTCATTTTTGGGAATAATTAATTTTGTGACTAAAACACCGGTAAAACTGCACTTTGCACTAGTATTTGTACTCTGATACCTCATTTTACATTTTATATGATAAAATGTTAAAGTGCATATTTTGCTGTGACTAGTCAGCGTTATTCTACTATTCTACTAATTCTACTAACGTGTGCACGGACTTTACAAGATGTAAAGTATCAACGTTTATTATTATTATTAGGCAAAATACTCCTATTAGAGTAGCCTGATATTATATGGCAGTAGACGCCTATCTGTCTAAAATAAATGTATATCTGTAATGTAAACTCCCGTACAGCATGCAACAAAATTCGCGTGTAAAATATTTCATTACCACACTTACGTACGTAGCATTTCCCACTAAGTTGTGAAATACAGGTTCAGCATACAAACCTAAGCTGATAGCGGTTTGCCTCCTTCCTCCTCGCCAGAGAAACTTGCCTTTCAGCCAAGGCCATGGGCGCCGTTAGGCCGGTAGCCCCGAGTATTTTAGCCCCGATGGCTCCCGATATTTTCGATGGCTAGAAACTCCCCCGGGGAAGGCTGTCCATTAACCGCGAGCCATTTCATATACTGTGCGTGTGTTTGCACGTATCAGCGGGGGCGCAGGTGGTGGGGGGACGGGGGGGACACAACCCCCCAGTTATTCAGGGACCGTGATTCAGCCACCTGCACCCCCCTTTGAGGGGGGAAAATAACAAAACGTTGATAAGTAGCATCCCTAAACAGGGTTGGACACTGTGATGTGTGAACTCAAACTGTGTTAACCATCAGAAACTACTCGAAGCGTGAGCCCACTCAGGCGCGCGCACATCCCCGTGCCCGCACACAGGCGCGTGCGCGCATCCCTGTTCCTGTACACGCGCGCGCGCCCACCGTCTCCCTTTATCTCCGCCTGTAGGTAGTAAAGTAAAGTGCATACATTCCTATTAGCCTATACATATGATTCACTTCCACGGATTTAACGAAGAATAGATAACAAACACGGATGTCACTTTCTAAAACATTTTACTCAAAAACGTCGATACTTGCCACAGTTGTGACTTTGCACATTTGATGCATATCTCGCCGTCGGGGGCTTTGGGTCCTGAACAAGCCGTAAACTAAGCTGCCTTAACTCGTGCCAGACGAAGTTTTGGTAACACGGACCAAAGCGGGATGCAATACAGAATAAAAGCAACCCGGAAAAAAGCATAGATGTGTCACAGTGTTCCTACGAATAGCAGTATAAGTAGACGCAAATTCTATATAGGCTTAATCTATACCAAACCTATGTTGGGTGCGATTATCAACATAATTTTCCCATATCCCTGACAGGCTAATTTATGTATATTACAAGAAAGAAATTGACTTCATCCAAGTTTGTCCAATGGGCCAGTTCCGGATGATGGGCGGTTCCATATCAAAGTAACACTGTACGTATGTCGGCCAGTAACATTAACAATCAAAAAGTTTAGTGTATTAAATCATGCCGAATGCCAGTATAGCGGCATAAGCTTAAGAGTGGAGACCTTTTGCTCACTGTTTGGTCCCCCCACTGCCAAAATCTCTCCTGCGCCCCTGCGCGTAACTGCTAATGAAAGTTGGCAATACGGTTGTTAAATAAATAACTGAAATTCTTTGTGGAAACATTTCCTGGCACCGTCACAACACACAATAAACCCGTACCTGGAAGCGTATGATGCCCCGAGCAACTGCTGTTGCAGAAGGAGCTTTGTCTTCTCATCTGCTGCTTGCATACTAGGACTGATAAAGCCAGATTTAAAGACTCTTCCTATATATATATATATATATATATATATATATATATATAAATATATATAAAGTTATATAATTTTTCAGTTAATTCTGTAACGCAGATTTTCTCGAAGAACCACTTGCCTCAATGAAATGCATGTGCCATAGATAATGATGAGGAGGAAACCAATTTCAAAGTGTGCAAACAACTCTGCCAGAGCTGTTCTTTAAGTGTGTAAACCAGCACTGGCACCAGGAGTCGTGTGCAAAATACCAACGGTTTTGACTTCCTCTTCGATCGTATTTCATTTAGACTTCTGCAACATTTCTCGTCTTTTGCAGCTGCTAAGTCAAGCCAAAGCAGATTTTTTAAAGCTGTCTGTACGTATACATTGTCGTAATTTTTGTTAATGGTCGTAAATAGGTTTTAACATCGTAAGTATATCCACTATAACAGAACATTAACTATAAATATTGATTGAAAAGTGCACGCACATCTCCTGATGGTCAGACCATGCATAACAAGGCTAAATTCCTTGGAAGTACATTTAATTTAAAATTTGAACGCAAAATGCTGACAAAGAGTTGATTAGGTACGACGTAAAACTGCATAGCTCCCTCAGATTACCAGTGTGGTACAGTACGTATCTCAGATGAAAGCCATCGTTAATGTCAGATGCATCCTTAGCGATTTGGTTCTGGACCCGCTAAACATAGACTTGCGGTTCAGAAACAATATAGAGATTGTGGCCTATTTTCAGAGTGTACGTGGTAATGTTGGATTAAAAATAGCTAGGTGTATGTTTTGAATAAAGATTTTTTTTAGAATGAAAACATTGAAAGAGTATAGAAGTATATGCCTATATCTTACTCTTTTTTATGTTTAAATTATTAGTTTTCTGTAGTCTAAGTAAGTTCATAAATCCTATTCCTTATTCCGTTTTCCACACGACTGCCTGTATACGCCTGGTGAATACGTGGTTACCTCTCAGACAATAAGGCCCTTTTACGATACACTAAAACACCACAAACATAGCCTGCGTACTTTCAGTGGTATTCCATATGTAACAAAACACGGACAGAGCAGACGAACCCATAGCGAGAACATGAAAATCAACATTTATTTTGCTGTGCAATTATCACGAAATGTGCAGTCACCGTCCCCGACTCACCTCTCACACTAATCTTAACTATATTAAAAACAGATTGTCTGAAAACCTACATCTATGGATTTTTCTAGAGGATCGGGTCTTCGGCCCGTCCACTACTGCGCGTGCCTTGCCGCCGTCTTCTATCGCATACAAGGTCGCTCAGCATTTTTGTTTTTTAAAGTTTTTTTATCTGTCACATCTGTGGCCACATATTTTACATATACGTTGTTCTATTCTCACATCATATACAAAACATAGTCAAGAATAATGATTATTATAATCATTATCGTCAGCACAAACAACATTTGATAATATAAAATGTACAAAACACTAAGTTTGCATACAGATATACAAACGTTCCTTTGATGAGCTCACTCGGAGCTGTTAGAATTTCGGAGGGTTTTTGCATTCTTGGCGGCAGGGGGCGCTGTTTGCCAGGAAATCCTCCACTTACATACTGTGGCGGATAATTCTTTCTCACTAAAAGAATCAAAACTTTAATACCTCATCGTGTCTAACTACGTGTTGAACGTGCACCTCTTCTGGCCTGTTTCCAGACGACCAAACAGCACCAAAGTGTATATGTGTGAAAATTCTTTTGTGAAAAATAAGAAAATGCTCTGAAAAATGTTCTTCCTAGTCGCAGAATGTGAGACCTGAGTTGCTAACGCACCATGATTCATTGCAGTCCTCCTCTAGCCATCTACCCACTTTCCCTTTGTCCTCTTCCTGCTTAATGTCACATGTCCTGCTCTCTCCATATCTTCTCCGTCGTGGTGCACTTTGCTATTCTGTGGGCAGAAGGACATTAGTGCAGATGCAGTGAAAGTCACACACACCCACGAACTACTGAAAAGGCTTCACACATCAATACCCACAACAAACATGCTCGACTGCCACTAACACAGACATACACACTACTAGACAATTACTAGCGAACAACACTTAGTGAAACAGCAATTTCACCTCTCTCACCTTTGGCCTGCTTTGTCTCCTCTCCCGCCTTGCCCTGCTCATTTCCTTCCTCATTTCCCTCCTCATCTTCCTCATCCTCATCTTCATCTGAAGGAGAAATGTTGAAGGTCAGATGGGTGAGTTCAAAGAGGAGAGGGCTTTGGACGCAGTGGACCTCAACAGACTCTACACAGACAGCACCAAAGGTAGTCCGGATGCTCCCAGAACGCAGGTAGCCATGCCAACCAAAATCAAACATCATTATCCAGTAGCTTTGCTGTCTAACGTCCAGAAAATCAGTCTCACCATTTCCACTCTTGCGTTCAATAAATCCCTTTTTGCCTTTATGAAAACTCTGATTGGACAGACTTGTATGTTGCTTTAGATTAAAAACTAGATGAAGATGAGTAGATCAGTGTCATGGTGTCTGTATCATCAATTCAACAGTAAGTCAACATAGATAAGAGATCATTGATAGAAAACAGACATCAGTAGGGTTATTCAGAGTGCAAGGTAACACGGGGTTCAGGCCGTGTTCTCGGGTGCCTGTAAGCATGAGGGTTAGGGGTCTGCATACCTAAACCAAAATCCATTGCTTGCAGCAGCTCCTCCACATGTTGGGTGTCCAGGGTGAAGTGGTCCATGTTCTCGTACTCGGGTTCTATCCGCTCAGTGGGACAGCGCTGGGCGGCACTGGACATGCTGAGAGCACAGTCAGGGGAGAGGTCAGTGATGTTCCTCACCATGAAGGTCTGGAGAAGATCCTGATGGGTGGGGTGATGGGATACGGGGAGGAAGGGAGAACTTACTCCTTCAGAAGCTGTTTAGCCGTCTGTAGGTTCCCGTCAGCAGCCGAGCGAATGAGAGTGAGAGGAACAGTTAGAGGAGTGAGGGAAATGTCAGTGTGACACGATCACATGATCAGGCAGGAGCGGCCCAAGGCATCAGCGACCTGAGAGTCTGCTTAGGGCCCGGGGGCCACCAGGGGCCCCCCCATCTGCTCAGGAAGGAAGGTGGCTGTTTCTTATGGCCTTGAAAAGGGTTGGGAGACCTTTGATCAGCTGATTGATGGATGGGATAGTGAAAGACTTACAGGTGACCGTTCTAACAGGTTTAGCAGGAACTCAGTTACGAGTAACGTAGAGATCATCATCAAATACAGTAGCTTCTTGAGATAAAAGATGCATCATGATTCATAAATGACAAACAAACATGAGATCGGTATTTACCTTCTGTTACTCATGACTTGTTCCTTCAGTCGTTCACAAAGGTGAACAGAAGTAACAGATATAGTAACAAATACAGCAACTGCTCGATTAAACACGCATCACGATTCATTAATGATGAATTAACACGAGATCAGTGTGTAACTAAGACTCAGTTTGTGGTTAATCAGTACATTAAGTAATAGCGTATATTATTTGCGTCCCCTGAAGTAAAGTGTTACCCACAGAGACTGCATTATGTAATAATAAGAGTGAGAGCCACAGCGGGCGGCGCCCACCACCAGGAAGCTGGCCTCTCCCGGGTCCTCCATGGAGGCGAGAGCGCCCTCCATGAGCGCGGAGCTGCTTTCCAGCTGCTGCCGGTACTGCTGCACCAGCTCGCGCACACGCGCCATCCTGCAGTCCTGCTCCTCCGTGATCCGCGCCAGCAGCTCCGCCTTGCGCTCTTCCAGCTGCGCGTAGAGGCCATCAAACCGCTCGCTCAGCAGCTGCTTCTGCCTCATGCTGTTCTCCTGGGGGAGGGGGGATTCTTAAATTAATATGACGACTAAAGCAATCAGTCAACGAGAGCTACAGTATGCATCTTTGTGTCTGCATTTCAGGCCTCCACAGCTCGACAGCGCCCCCTAGCAAACCTCGATGGTTTTGCAGGTGTTTTCCATCTGGGTGAGGATTGCCTGGATCCGTTCGTTTCCTGCCACCATGGCTGCAATGCCGTCAGTCAGCTCCGTCTGCCACACACACACACACACACACACAAACACAGAATTCTTTCATTGTAACATCCTTTTTTGTTTGTTATTTGCAATTTTTTGTTGTCGCTACTAAGGCAGATGGACACACACATTCTCTGGTGTACGTTTTGCTCTCCCTGGCGTGGAAAACAAGCTCCCTGAGATGATCTGCACCCCCACCCCCCGAGGTATCTTATCATCCAGGCGACACACAAGCAGGCCTGGACGTGCCCCTGCGTGTCCCTGTCCGCACGCCACACACACACCTCTGGCTGCACTTATAAGGGGATGTCCTGAGCTGCTATTCACAGGGCCCGGCTCTCCACCCAGCACAAAGCATGCCGGGAACACGCACTGTGTGTGTGTGTGTGTGTGGGTGTGTGTGCGCGTGACTGCCAGCTGAAGCAGGCACCAGCACAGAGATGCAAACGGACATGCAGGTGGTGGTGTGACAGGCATGGCCCCGGCAGCAGGGCTGGAAAGGCGATCCTGGGGGACAGGGGGCGCGTCCTTGGGACCAGCTAGTGCTACATCGAGCCCCGAATGCGCTGAGCTGTCCTGCTCAGCACCCTTCCTCTGGTAACCCCCCCCCCCCACCAAAACTCGCTATATTTACCAGCCACCTTCGAGTGGCTAATTGCGTGCGACAGCTGAGTGATGTGTATTTCGGATAAAAGGGCTTATGCTCACATCTCCTCCCCTCCCTGACGCTACGCCTCCCTCCGCGACCACCTCCTATGTGTACAGTACATGCACAGCACGGCACAAACACACGGTGTCCCACAAACGCCTGCACACGCGCTGCCTGTCTCTCTCTAGGTTAAAGGCGCATAAGCCCTGTTTCCCGCAGTCATCTGTGTTTTATGCACGGCTAATTATAGAGCCAGAGCCGCCCCTTGAGGCATGTGGTGACCTGTTCTGGGTTTAAAAACAGACACATGCTCCCCTCAGACAGACACGTATAAAAATATGCATCCCTACGCATTCTTCAGCCTTCCGTTTGGGTGACGGCTTCCTCGGGGTGCCCTTGGCGACCTGTCACTCACTCCGCAGTCCCATTTCGTTGAGGTTTAGGCCCTGCAGTGATGGCTGTGTGAATTCGGGGGGGGGCGCTCACCTTCTGCGTCTGGTAGACGGCCTGCAACGGGGAGACCTGGCAATCCTTGTGGGCCCCGAACACCTTGCACATGGAGCAGGTGGGCACCTGGCAGGTGATGCAGTAGATATTGATCTTCTCCTCCTCATGCTCCACACACATGGGCTGCTCCGCTTTGGTTTTAATTGGCCGTGGGCTGTGGGGGGGGGGGGGGGGGGGCAGGGAGCTTATCAAAATGAGCTTGTTTGTCAAATGAGCTTTGACTGATCCCGCAGTGACATCGGTGGCCCTGTGTCTGGCGGCTGGAGCTGTGTCCATGGCGACGGCAGTGTTGTGCTTTATTTACACACGCGTCCATGTGTGCTGGAGATGAGAAGCGCCCTCTATCCTGACCTTCCCTCCACCCAGCTCTGTCAGTGACCTCCCCTTCCACCTCTCCCTCTCTCCTTTTCTTTTAAAGTAGCAAAGTTGAGTTCAGTTCCCACACAGTCCGTCCTTTTAAGGGATAGGGGTCGGTATTCGCCCAGCAAGAGTCACCCGACACCCTGCTGTAGCTCTGCCACCAGCTGTCCCCCTGTGCTGCCCCCCCCCCCCACCTTCCAACATCCACGCACTGACTCACATGGAGAGGTGTGACTCTCTCGCTTCCTGCCATGTTGTGCACCTGCGTGTGTCGGTGTGTATAGCATGATGTGAGAGCCGTCGTTCATAAAACATATGGTAAGTGAGTGTGTGTGACTGAGGAGTGGAGACCGCAGAGGCACATAGGAATCGGGCTGGCTGGCAGTAGATAAGTGAGTGACTAAGCGAAGTGTGTGACACTTAATGACAGCACATCGGTGACGGATCAGACGTCATTCACATGCTACCCCAGCCCTCCTAGCTGCTCTGTCCTGCACCGCTACCAGCATCACACCAGTGGGTGTCTGCTCTGAAGCTCCACGCCTGCTGGGGACCCGCATGCTCACACTCTCACGGACTCCGCCCTCACCTGCTGGGGACCCGCGCGCCCGCTCACTCACGGACTCCGCCCTCACCTGCTGGGGACCCGCATGCTCACACTCTCACGGACTCAGCCCTCACCTGCTGCTCTCCTGCTTGTAGATGTCAATGATGTTCTCCACCAGCAGGTTACGCTGCAAGCCGTAGACACCATGGCGATCCAGGACCACCTCGTGCCGGCAGGAGGGGCAGCGGAATCGGCCCCCGGTGATGTTGGTGCCCCGCGATGAGTAGTAAGGGTTAGCAGCCTGCAGTGGGTGGGTACATTTTCAGCCTGGGACATTTGAGGCTGTTTCCTACACACTAATAGCCATGTTCTGTGTTCACTCACACCGCAGATACAGTCTCTGTGTTCAGCTACGGCACGGCAGCGCATACGTTAAAGTGACTGCTCTCTGGACATCGTCCTTAAGCAGACGGCACCTCAGCATCATGGAGCCATGTAGGGGCCGGACGCCTGCTTTCACAGCTTTCAGCCAGTGTCTGTCCGCAGAGATCAGCTTACAGGCCCTCTTTGCATTTATTGACAGGGCAACCATGTGCTGCTACCAAAATAGATATTTATGATACAAGCGTAAAGATAAATAATATAGTATTATGGGAAAGGAAGGCGAGGGGTTGTGTGCAAATACACCGTTTTCTTTTGAATTCTCTACAGTTTTTTCTGCTGCATTGGGAGTATCTGAGTTAACTTGGGGGGGGGGGTAATCAGTCACGGTCATAGCCAGCGCCTCCCCCCCACACTGCAGAGAGGGTGTCCGTATCGCTGCTCAGTGTGCCGTGCTGAAGTGTGAAAGACGAATGCTGCCCGCCGTGGCTGCAGAATGGCATGGGCCCACGCTGGCCATCTCAGCCCGTCTGCGTGTGCGTCTGCATCTGCACGCATGCCTGCCTGCCCTGCAATGGCATGGGCCCACGCTGGCTGTCTGAGTGCGCCTGCACTTAGGCTGCCAGCGAGGCCACGACCTCCTCAGATCATCCTCCCGAAATAGCACTGCGTGCCGCTGACTCGTCCCTCAAAAGCCCCTCCCCTACAAACAGACAGGGGGGTGCAGAGAGGCCTGTGGGGCCGTCCTCATCATGCAGAGGGGTGGGGAGGGGACCCTGTCACTGTGCAACATGAAGGGCTAAAGTAAAAAGCGGCCGGATGAATTTCAAGTGTGACGATTTAACTGCTGCATAGAAGCACGACTCCTTAAGCCATCACAGGACGTCACTGAGACATCGGGGAGTAAGACGCCCACCAGGCGCTTCTCAGAGCCATTCTCCGGCCCCTCGCCCTCACTCCACCTCTCCTTCGCCCTTCCCGCTGTTCACTTGCCCCCCACCCCGTCCTGGCGCCCCCCCTGCACCCTCACCTGGAACACGTCGTTGGCACACTTCCTGCACAAATTGTGCTGGCATGGAAGGATCACCACCGGCTTGGAGAAGATCTCCAGGCAGATTGGGCAGATCAGCTGCTTTTCCAGGTTGTCCATGGGCCCGGAGTCGTGGATGATGCTGGACTGGAAATCCATGGTGTCGCTGTGGACCCCCCCCCAAGGCCTATGGCTGACGCTGGTCCTCTCCCGCCCTCGGTGCTCTGCTTCTGTGCCTCCTGAGCTCAGGCTCCTCTGTACCGACCCCACGAGTGCGTGTGCACGTCTGCTCTCTTACCACCCGGCTGGTGCTAAATTTATACCCCTTTCAGCCGCCCCCCCCGGACACCTGATCCCCCCCGCCTCTGCATTCCTCCAGTCCCTCCCCACGCTGGACACAGCAGACCGCCTTTGTGTCTCTCAAACTCCCGTCTTATCTTTTCCTCTGCAGTCTTCTGCTCACACATCCCATAGCACCACGCATACTGTCATGTGACCAACGCCCCTAAAGTTATAACCTCTATTTCCCCCCCCACCAGCAGCATCTAGACACGTATCATAAGCAGAACCACCACCCAGACTTCAGGTTCCCCTCAAAGGCTTTGCCTGGGGCCCAGCAGAACATCTAGACACATTTCATAAACACAGGAGCTGGTCCCTGGTGCTGACGAACCTAAAACAGACTGAACACAGCAAAAATACGGTAAGAAACATTACAGGGAGAAAGAGGGACAGAGAGACGGGAGAGGGATGGCGGATAGCCACAGCAGCTGTGTGTCTGCGTCAGCGAGTGTGTGTGACTCAGCCCTGCTATTTTTGCTTCTCCTACCCTTCTATTCAGCTGGCAGTGGTGCGGACAGTCGAACGCCCCCTGGTGGAGGGATGTTTTGGGGGCCGCTGTCCCAAAAAGTTCACATGCAGAGGCTGTACCCTGGACTACCAAAGCTCAGCCCTCCTTAGGGGGAGCAGCGAGATCTCATAGTCAGGACCTGTTCACACGGCATCTCACATACACGTGCATGCAAACACAGATAAACTCACACCAAAGACACCCAAAGTGCTTTTCCCAGAGCGCAATGCTTTATTGGGGTTATGGCAGTACACGTTGACGTGACAGAGTGACGGCCTGTGAGGCCAGATCGGCCCGTTCCAGCACATTCATACACATTCCTATATAAAACACTATTTACATGCATTGTTGTTCATGAACCAGCACCACGTACAGAAGCCCCCGCTACAGCTGTGCAAATCTGCTGACAGGGGTGAGCCTTTGAAAAATCCTCTAATATACAGATGAGTAAATAAATAGTGTTTATTAGTCACACCAAATGTAAGAAAGAGCAGCCTGGAAAGTGAGGTATTACCACGGTGAGTGCAAAGGCTGCCGCTACGAGAACAGAGCCCCGTACTGCACAGGCTGTCCGTGGTCATCCAGGCAGCACTAGCTGCTCCCAGAGCTAAGGCTAAAACCCTGTGCCCCATGTAGACACATCCTGTATCCTAGCAACCGAATGCACAGAGGTCTAAATCTCAGATGTTGGTACATTTTTGGACACCAAGTATGTTATTACACATCGGCCACCAGGGTTGTTTTACTTCCAAAGGAGATTTTTTTTTGGCAGCAAGATGCTAAAGTCTTACTGGACAGTCTGCTGTCCACAGAGACCTGAATTACTACTGCCAGTTAGAGGCCTGTGTTTCCTGCGTTAGGAAGGTAGAGGGATGGATTGATGGGTGAGAAATTAAAAGAGTTTGAGTGACAAAGGGCATGAATGCAGCCTGGTTTGGGATTGTAGCAGAGGGCTGAGAAAGTGGACTCACCCTGTAAACATCCTCTGATCTTCACAGCCAAACAAAAGACCTCACTGCTCATCACAAAGCTCTTCAACTCAACACCATCATCATCATCAACACCACATAATAGGAGTGTCACATAAACCGTGAAAACCCAAACAATTACAAGTCTGTCATGCTTACACACACTCACATACACACACACACACACACACACACACACACACACACACACACACATTCACATACACACTCACATTCATCTTTCTCCTGACTTGGGTCAATATGAATATGAAATATATTCTGTGTGTCAGTACAGATGAGGACTGTTTCTCAGTGTGGAGATGCTGGGGGTGCAGATAGGCGTGACCCCCGCCCCCCCAGCGTGTCATGTGCCGCCGTTTCACAGCTGTGTCCTTACACAAAGCCTCCGAGTCACAGCGGTCCTCCGAGTCACAGCAGTGAGTCAGGCACGCCGGCTTGGAGTCACACCAACCTGCCACGGCTGCACACAGGTGACACCTGCTGGCTGAATGGAAGCCAGCAGCCCTCATGAAGACACCCAGGTCCCCATGGAAACAAAGCCGTGTGCAGCATCCCAATCCCAGCCCTGCACAGCACCCTCCATGGTCCCCTTCCTGCACCTCCGGCAGTCTCCTCTCCTCCCTCGCCCCCCCAGGGCCCCCAGGCCCCTCACGGTGATGTCATGGTGGGTTTCTTGCCCTTGGAGAGCGCGGCCACCTGCTTCAGCAGCTCCCGGTTCCGCGCCTGCAGAGAGCCGCACACAGGCAGCAGTCACATGGACAGAGCTGCGACCAATAGGAAGGCGAGCAGATTCCTGCCGTCCTTATATAAGCATGCAGTGTGCCAGGCCTGAGCAGACTGAGAACTCGGTAGGCCTGAGAAATACGTGAAACCATTTTAACAAAGATCACTTGAGGGGGCCACTGAGCTTTGATTGGTTATATGCATCATCGTTAGTAAGGAGGGAACTTTTCATTGTACAAAATTGTGTGCAAAATGATGAATATTTCAATGAACCAAAATTCTGGTGAACAATACAGTAAGGATCCCAGACCAAAGCAAAGAGAAAAACAAATGCTACAAAAAAAGGCTTTTCTAACCTGTCAGAGAGCATGTTCTGGCTATAGAGAGACAGACCCTGACAGACAGACAGATCCTGACGGACAGATACTGGCAGACAGACCCTGACAGACGGACAGATACTGGCAGACAGACCCTGACAGACAGACAGATACTGGCAGACAGACCCTGACAGACAGACAGATACTGGCAGACAGACCCTGACAGAC